CAAATTGTAGATCTAATACAAGGGTTGAAAATTGGTCTTACGGGTCTCATGAAAAACCTTTGGTCTCACATGATCTCAAGTCTATATATATATATATATATATATATATATATATATATATATATATATAGGTGGAGGTTCAAACGAGAACCCTGTGATTTACGAGAACGCAAGAACAAGCCAATAACCTCAAACTTTTTTAATTAATAAATTAACTTTTATTATATATAATAATTTAATAAGGACAATAATGTAATTAAGTAATTTTATAATTTTTATTTTATTTTAATTAACCATAATTATCCTTTCACGTTCCACGTTTTACTCTTGGTAGTTTTCTTCTTCTCCTTCGTTCATGCTTCTTCTCCTTCATTCATGCTTCTTCTCCTTCTTGTTCATGATAATCTCCAGATATCGATGGCTTATCATCTTTTATTCATATCACAACCCTATCACATGATTATCACACTCATATCACATGATTATCATACTCATATTACATGATTACACCAAAATTTTAACTTATCAACCAAAACGATAACCCAAGTGATGTATAACAGTGATTATCACACCCCTATCACATGATTATCACACCCAAATCACATGATGACACCAAAATTTAACTTATCAACCAAAACGTTAACCCAAATGATGCATAACAGTGATTATCATACCCCTATCACATGATTATCACACCCAAATCACATGATGACACCAAATTTTTAACTTATTAACCAAAATGTTAACCCATGTGATGTATAACGGTGATTATCACACCTCTATCACATAAGTATCACACCCCTATCACATGATTACATCAAAATTTTAACTTATCAACCAAAACGATAACCCAAGTAATGTATAATGGTGATTATCACGCCCCTATCATATGATTATCACACCCATATCACATGATTATCACACCTATTATAATCCTAACCTATCGAAACCATTCGAAATCCTTGTGATAATGTCTAACATAACCAACTGAAACCATGATGAAATCGATTGACATTGATATCACATGAGTATCACAACTAATCGATTAAAAACTTATTCAAAACGAGTAATTTTGAAATATACCTTGAATTTGTCCGCTTGTTGCATGCAATGGCTTCTCGATTAGAGTTCTTGGTTGATTATGGTTGTGTGTTCTTGGTTGATCACCGTCGATCAATATTTGTTTCCGTCGGTTGTTTTTGCGATTTGAAGTTATGAGTCTCCTTGAATTCGTAACCGTTTACTAGATAATGATAAGGCTAATGATAATAATGATCGTGTTTAAAAGATTTGATGATATCATTTCCATTATTACCCTTTTAATTTTAATTTTTTTTGAATCTTTTTCAATTTCAATTTCAATTTTAAAAATCTTTTAATTTTATTTTTTATCACAATATGTGGTTATTGGGTTGTTCTCACGTTCTTATAAATCAAAGAGGTTCTCGTTTGAACCATTCCCTATATATATATATATATAGGGGCACGTTCAAATGAAAACCGTGTATTTCTAAGAAACCGTGTAAACCAATTTCGACCAATAGGAAAATTCATTTTTTTTTCTAATTAAATTTAATCAATAAGGGTATTTCGGTCATTTACAATATTTTCTACTAAATATGGAAGTTATTAATAAATCTTAATTAAGGAAACTTAATAAAAGAAATTGTATAAATGATAACATTTAAATATTTAATTATATTAAAATATTAAAAATTTGGATTTCATATATTGTCATGAGTTATAATCAGGAAATGTGTCTTGATGAAAGAATTGAATTAAGAATGAAATCATCAAAACGTAGATGAACAAAAAAATCCACAAAATGAAACAGGTTTCATGAACGTGAAACTGGTTCATGTTGCAAAGAAATTAGGTGAACCGAAACATTTTTATGGTGAACCCGTTGCATTGATGGTGTAGTTAATCTTTTTTTTATGAGAAGTAAAATGAAACCGGTGCATTGTGAAAAAAATTATGAAAAGGAAAATGAAACAGGTTTCATGAACGTGAAACTGGTTCATGTTGCAAATAAATTAGGTGAACCAAAACATTTTTATGGTGAAACCGTTGCATTGCTGGTGTAGTTGATCCATTTTGTTGATGAAAAGGAAAATGAAACCGGTGCATTTTGAAAATAAATTATGAAAAGAAAAATGAAACAGGTTTCATTTTTCTTTTCATAATTTATTTTCAAAACGCACCATGAACGTGAAACCGGGTCTTGTTGCAAATAAATTATGTGAACCGAAACATTTTCATGGTGAACCCRTTGCATTGATGGTGTAGTTGAGCCATTTTGTATTTCGCTCGTCATGAACGAAGTGCATGATGAAACAGGGAAATGATTTTAATCTGCTACATAATCTTGAAGATTGTAACCTGCTCCAGAATCTTCAAGATTGTAAGAATTAAAGGAATGATTCCATCAAATTGGTGGTGAAATAAGAAAATTACTGTACATGAAATAGTTTTCATGAAAGTGAAACTGGTTCATGGCAATATTGAGCCTGATAAGTGAAATGGTTGCATAAGTGAAACAATTTCATGTTGTATTATAAACTTTTATAAAGTCAGTAATCGATGAAAATTTTTCGTTATCTAAGTGTAACGGATCCATCTACCAGTATAATGAAAATTACGAAATATGAT